CATCTTATAAACAAAAAAAAATTTAAAAACTTTTAGAAAAAAATTTTCCCCCCCCCCCCCCCCCCCCCAAACTTAAATTTTTAAAAGATTTTGCATGAAAAAACATAAAATAATAAAGTGTGAAAGAAAACATTTAATACATAAAGAAAAGACTTACTTGTTAAAGGTTCTGATTTTGAAATCTAACTCTGAAATATTGCAGGTGCTAATATGAAAAGCTATAATACTTAAAACATTAAATACACATAATACATATCACATAATACATATAAAAATAATACATATAAAAAATTGCTGAGAAAGAGTTAACTATAAAAACATCCAACAAAGTACTAAAAACTAACAACAGTTCAAAAATGGTTCCCAATGTAAAAATAGTCTGACAAATCTAAAGTTCACAATTCAACATAACATTTAAAATAAGGTATCATAGTTTAAAAACAAACAGTCTCAATAATAAAGTACAACCAAACATAAACTAAACAAAAATATAACTAAAGCATCACCAATAATCTTCTTCTACTTTTAATCTTCTTCTACTTTTTCTTCCACATCCAAATTTTGCTTCTAATATGGGGTAAAAACAGGGTGAGTAGGAAATTGAACTGAGTGATCACCTCTCATGTATCTGACCATTGCATCATTATAAGAAGCATCATAATCAAACTTTTGTCGTATCAAATCATCAATGTGTACATTTCTAGTCTCCATATTTTCCATTCTACTTTCCATTCACAAGTTATCTCCCTGTTGGATCATCATCTGCTCCATAAGTTCTTGGTTAGTAGGGGTACTAGAAGTAGTACTTGAAGTAGAAGGAATATCCCTGGTCCTACTTCCAGATCTCCATCCAACATGAGATTCATAAGTCATTATATTGGTAGGCCCAATATGTTTTAGAGGTTCAATCCTCTCCTCATCCACTCTAAATCAACTCCTGCATGTTCACATAGTGTGAAGATCAGGGCAGGGCGCGCTAAACCACCAGTAGTCTCTCCAAAAGCAATAGATTAAGTGTTTCTATAAATAATAAAGCCAACATCTATCCTTCTCATCTGTTGGATAGATGGCTCTATCCTTTGTAACCTCACTGTGATGATTTGTTGGTATCATTCTTTCAAAAATAAGTAGTGTCAGGCCTTATATACTACATTTAACATAGAAAGAGGAAAATTTACCTTAACACCATCTTCACCTTCTAGGCTCCACTTCTATCAGTAAGAAAAGAAATAACTTCATCTAAGGCCTCATTCGTAGCATAAAATGATTTGTACTGGCAGCTATACACATCTTCTAACTGATAAAATTCATTAATTTTTCTTGGAGTAAACTCCACCATTTTCCCAAGAACAAACACATAATCTTCAGAAGTCTCCATTAAATTGGCATAGAACTCCATCACTACACCAATAATAGCCTTTGCAGTAAAGTAACAAAAATTTTTGCATTGGCGAGCATTGATTATTCTTTAGACTTCTCCACCCAGATTTTTAAATCCTTGATCCGGAATCACTTTTTTAGCTGTAAGTAGACTATTGAAGCAAATGTTGGCCTTGTAATTAACAAACTTTTAATCATCAAAATCCACTTTTCTCTTTCCTTTGCTCATTCTTGGTGTCATGGTAATCTACAAAAAAGTTATAGTAAATCTAAGAAAATTTGATAAAATTCAAGTAAATTCCCAAAAAAATCTGAAAATTATAACGTGGAATGTTTTAAACTTAAATCTACTAAGTAAGAGTTCTTCACTAAAGGATTTTCTCAAAATCTTCTAAAAAATTTCAAAATTTTGGATCTCGGTAATGTAAGATAAATCTTTGATGAAAATAAAAAATTTTGATTTCAAAGTATAGCTCTTATCAAGAGAAGATGAAATCCCAACTTCATTTGCCTTAAAATTGCCTCAAATCCGAGCAATAGTA